GAAATTACATGCCGCTGTTATATGAGTTAGCCACATCATCACGGACAGGCGGGGCATTTTCATATGACCCTTTCACACCTACGCCCATGATGCAACGTTCCAAGCCATCATCCCATCCAATCGGGATAGGCTGAAAATGATGACATTAACGAACAATGAATTTCACACAATGACATGAATCAGCATGTGGCTTCAAAGGGTTTGACGGACATTAATACATTAATGATCACAGAATCTGGATTGTGATATCCAGAAACGCATTCTTGAAAAGTATTCCAAATATCACAACAAGAAAACGAACTCACTGAAACTATAGGCCTTCCTTTGGGGTTTTTCCTCGTTTAATCGAGGCTATGAAGCTTAAATCACTTACAGGTACAACGTATCGCCACACCACCCGGTCTCAGAGCAAACACCGCCTGCAGATCGATGTCTCGTCAATACAGTGAACAAACTCGAACATCCCATATGGACTGTTGCGTTAATGGTTGGAAATATACCATTTGATTGTGATTGCTTGTCGTGAGGATCGCTTTGTCAACACTCGCCGCGAATTCACTGTTGTTTCAGTGATCAGACACGGGGAGCATGGTTCCGTCTTCTTGAGGTATTTGAGATTGAAGAGCTGTTGTGGACCGCATGGTTTACAAATGTTATGGACACTGGTTGAGATAGAACATTCAACTGACACCTCGGATGGAGAAGAGACAGTCCTGAGATTGAAATGAGTTAGGTTCCGAATTAGAAGCAGTGGTACCGCAATTACCCACTCACTCACCCTATTACGGCTGAAAACAGTTCTCCCCAGCAGGTTTGGGCTATGAAATAATTTCAATGTTGTTTTTTCCTTTTTAGCTTTTTTCACATCTTTGGCTTGCTTACTTATGTGTTTACCTATGTTCGGTGAAGGGTGGGGGTAGAGTTCAGTTCAGAATAATGAATAAATATATAACACTCACGGCGATTCTTTTGTATGCTTAGGTCAATATTAACTTCACAAACTGTTTCCATCATTAATATTATATCCTTGGATCATATATAATAATAATAATGAGAATATTTATAACGCGCCTTTTCCAGGCTAGATATCCTGCTCAAAGCGCACAATCTGATCATTATTACCCCGGATAACCCAAGCTGCCTGTTAGGCGCTAGAAGGTTAATAATCTCACAACGTATTTCACCGGGTACCCATTTCCTGCTTGGGTGAACAGAGGCAATTGTGAACAAACTCACTTGCCTAAGGTGAGACTACATGTATCACATGTGCGTCGTTGTGTGGCAGGACTGAAGTCCTAGAAACTCTCAGGAGTCAAGCTGCCAAACACGGTCACCCACCCAAGGACTGTCCAAGCTCGACGTTGCTTAACTTCAACTGATTCGTGACCTGAGCTCTGTGCACAGGACCACGTGCCACCATGTTTTCAGACATGACGTTTTTGGGCAAACATGTTTACCACCATTACTCACGCTATAAAGAGAGGTTTGGTGTGACAATACGACCGTATATGTTCTTATGATGGTTGGTTCTGTGTGGGTTTCTGTTGGTTGAAGGGCTTTGGTTTTGGAGGGGGGGTGGGGTGTCCAAAAGCCATGGGACACGGTCATGTACAATAGACAATATATATGTTTGAACATATATATTATCAGTAGTTTTCTTTTCGTAGTCTACATAGGCGGCTAAGGTATGGGGTTGCCTCATCCTACGACGACTTATCCATACAGGAACTATGACTTGCAAGACTTATCCTCATATAGGGCATGTGAACATATTTGACAGTTATACAGGAAGGCATAAATAACTTCAATGTCTATCAATGTAGTTCCAATGAGGTCAGGAGCCAGGATCACATTTGTCAACCTGTCGATGACACAGCTTCAAAATAACTTAAACATTAATGGTATATATACTACCCATCAAAAGTTTATATACCATTGAAAAGTATATATACCTATCAAAAGTATATATACCTATCAAAAGTTTATATACCCATCAAAAGTATATATACCATCAAAAGTATATATACCCATCAAAAGTATATATACCTATCAAAAGTATATATACCATCAAAAGTATATATACCCATCAAAAGTATATATACCCATCAAAAGTATATATACCCATCAAAGTATATATACCTATGAAAAGTATATATACCTATCAAAAGTATATATACCCATCAAAAGTATATATACCAATCAAAAGTATATATACCCATCAAAAGTATATATACCCATCAAAAGTATATATACCCATCAAAAGTATATATACCCATCAAAAGTTTAGACTCACTAGTGTAAATGTAGCCACTTACGTCAGTCAACTGTTCTAAACCAAATTTTGCAAAATATTCCATACTATTTAAAGATAATGTTTACACATGAACTGATGTATTGTAAAACAAATTCGTAACGTTGAAAAAATTATTGTCGTGAGTTCAGTAAATGATGAAACTCAGTGACAATTGGTGAATTCTTAACAAAACTTTACAACAAACGCAGCTGATCACATGCATGATATTTGTACATGCCCTTCAGCAATTTGACGCATGATCCTCGTGCCATTCATCTGCATAAAGTTTGCAGTTGGTTCCCCCAAGTTAGTGGAGTAATTCATCTTCGATGTAACCATATATACATACATACATAACATATAGCGAGTGTTTAGGTGAGTCTAAACTTTTGATGGGTAGTATAGTTTAAGCGTTAACTACCAGAAATAAATTTCAGGGTGAATACATCAATCTACCAAATGACATAAGTATTGAATACTGTAAGGGACATTCTCGCGATCTCGCATTCTCGCGATCTCGACCTTTGGAAACAAGCTAAAAATGCCAAAAGTGCTAGACTGCGAGATCGCGAGAATGTCCCTTACCGTATTCCATACATAAGCACTGGGAAGGATGTCAAAATGAACAGAATACAAGATGTCCAAGGGTAACCATTTTGCATTAGAGTTCCTGGGCTTCAGCTGTCGGTTTCAGAGTGGCAGTCCTACCCAGAAGCTAAATATTGCTTAGCCATTTCTCGAATACCTGGTATCGTCACCGATTTCCTGGGATGCAACAACAGGAAGAGCATCTTTCTCGCCAAAATTTGAAAAGATGGCAATGTAACCCATTGTCTGAATGCTATAGTGGATGTTGTTCAATTAACATCTGAGGTTGAATCACAAATTTTCATAGAAACTATATGTTTGACAGTGCAGTCCGAGGCATGGATCAGTGAGTGAGTTTAGTTTTACGCCGCTTTTAGCAATTTTCCAGCAATAACACGGCGGAGGACACCAGAAATGGGCTTTACACATTGTGCCCATGTGGGGAATCGAACCCGGGTCTTCGGCGTGACGAGCGAACACCTTAAACACAAGGCTACCTCACCGCCCAAGAGGCATGGATCAGAGATGGAACCATGTTAGGCATTCGACCAAAGGGAAGTGACTCTAGTTATTTTCGACTTCATTGGTTATGGGTCTCTTGTATAGTTTGGTTTTTTGGTTTTCTTTGACGCACTCAGCAATATATTCCAGCTATATGACGTCGATCGGTAAATAATCGAGTCTGGACCAGACAATCCAGTGATCAACATTATGAGCATCGATCTACGCACTTGGGAAGCGAAATATCAACCAAATCAACGAGTGTGGCCACCCAATCCCGCTAGTAGCCTCTTACAACAAGTATGGGTTGCTGAAGACCAATTCTAACCCTGATTTCAGAACAAAAATAGTGTAATGAATTCTCATGTCCCAAGAATGAACAAATCTTCACTATCGTCTCATCTCGTCTTATCTTATCGTTGGGGAAGGGGTATATATGACTTTTTAAAATGACTGTTGGTGAAAACACACCAATTCCATTAGCTTAGATACTAATGCTATCGACAGAAGGTATCCATAAATAAATTTGTTTTCATTGTGTACATCAATATTATTTTTATAAAGAGCCTGACGGATTTCGTACAATTTAGGGGTTTTCTTAATGGTCAGCCGTGCGATTGTTTAATGGTGTCAAAGGATGTGCCACATATTTACACTGGACTTGTAGTTAATGCGCTACAGGTGTCATATCGTATAATTAAGTGAACGCCATGCGTTGTAGTTAAGTCGATGTACGGATTTGCTGACAAAACGATTTCCATTTATATTCAAGCTTGTATAATTGATAACACTGTTCGGTACACACGTCGAGCTCTTTCAACGATTTATGCGACCAGAGACCATTAGCTCGTTCATCACTGGTATACCTAAATGGAACAATGCCCGCTTTCAAGCCTTATGACAAAGAAATCACGTGAAATCCGCTGGAAGTCAGACCGTGTGTGGGTTGTACATCTTTGCCTGATGAAACAGATGACGATGTTATGTCTATGATACCAGTCGCCATGTGAAATGTCCCTCTTGTTTGCTTGACTTTATGACATTGTAATTGACAACTGAGATATGACTTCATGCATAAATCGAATCAGCGTGTCTGAAGCATCGGTTGCTGAGATCATTTCTAACATAGATTTTCACGAGTGCCGTTCTATGTTCCACTCCCAACAAGGATGAGCTGATCTGAAAACATTGTACCTTCATTTACCAAAAATATCATTTTCCTTTCTGAATATGCAGAAATTGTTACATACTCGAACATCTATCATTCGTGCATGTAGCTTTGTGGAAGTAGATGTGTTCTACAACCTGAAGTTTCGTTTGCACAATTAGTGAAAGCTGGGAATTCATTTTGTGTACGACCGTATAAGGAGGAGGGTTAGTCTTTTGGCACACCAAAACCATAGAGTTCTAACTCACATATGACAAGCACATAATTGCTGTCTATGTTCGGATGCTGCCTTACAATATATAAAAGCCACAATATACCTTACTCACTTGATCACAAAGACTCTAAACTAATAGTTCACAACTGTTTGAAAAAGAACACTTGCTGCTGAGAGAAAGCTTTATTAGACTTACCGGCGACATCTAATCGGTTGTGTCAAGTTAGTTCATACACAAGTTTTCAAATTAAAATGATGAAGGTAGTAGTTAGATCTAATCATAGGTCTTTCATACATACTTCATGTTTCATTCATACTTCAAAATCATGACTGCCTTTCAGGTGTCCTGAACAGCCTGTAAATGCCTTCTTCCATGCTTCACCCACATTGTTCCATGGTGTCTGTCCGCCTTTCTGGTTTCTTGTTCAGCCAGCCTTTAATTGCCTTCTTGATGCTTTGCTCACACTGTTCAAGGGTGGTTGGTTGCCTGACTGATCTACTGAACAGCCTATCAATTACATTTTGATGCTTCACTGACACTGTTCAACAGTTGATCGTTGACTTTCTGGTCTTTTGAAGCAACCTATAATTGCCTCCTTCAGTGCTTCACTCACACTGCTCAATGGTGGATGGCTGCCTTTCTGGCCTCCTAAACAGCCTATATATGCCTTTCTTGATGTCCTTCCGCATGATGGCGTACACCACAGGATCCACGGCAGTGTTGACGACCGGGAACACCAAACATGCCGACAGTGCCAGGTCATAGTCCAAGGGGCTGGATGAGTAGGCGATTATATTGAACATGGATAAAGGCGGGATCCACGTGACAAGGAAAGCTCCTAGAACAACACTACACGTCTTTAAGGCTTTGATGTCAAATATGCTCAAATCTGAAAATCGAAAAGAGTTGTCTGATTACACAACATCTACTAATTGGTCACCTTTTTAAAGCCCTCAAGGAGAAGGAAACAATTATGGGCAGAGATTTGAATAATTAAACGTGCACCAATATCATTTCTTTCGTAAAAGCTGGAAAACTGGATTCTATACCTACACAGAATCCATGGGACACAAAAGGCAAACCAACAGAGAACATGAGAATGGATCACTGTGTGTCATGACACCAGATGTTGGTGAAATCCCACGTCGCCTAATCTCTATCAGGAACACCTACATCTAGAATTATCGACAGTGTCAGAAAAGCACCACAGCTTCTATTCTAATACAACCAAATGAAATCAAGCAAACAAAACAATAAAACACAAATACTCTGTTTGTTCTGTTCAGCCAGATGTTACTGCGAGAATAATTTACATACATGAATATATGGAACCACAAATACGCTTACATTGGTTACATCCACTGTGTATCATTAAGATGAGTTTATGCTACCTACTTATGATTTACTGATGTTCCAACTTACCTTTGTTCTTATTGAAGTAGCCAATGGACAAGTTCCGTTGGTGCTCTACAGCCTTGTAGAACATCGCCCCGTACATGACCGTTAATTCCAGGGCAACACAACATGTCACTATGGTAGAAATGGTCACTATTGGAGCTGTAAGGATCTCTCCAGACCAACAAGCCATTTTCAGTGTTTTAGGGTGAAACACCATGATCAGAATAGATCCACTTGCGAAAGTGAAAATTAGAATAAAACGCACAGTTTAATAGCTCTGGACTTCGTGCACGTCTTTCTGTACTTGAATGGAGAAAATATGGCATAGAATCTGTCTAAACCGATGACCTCAATGAGCATAAGGTTGGTGGAACATCCCAAGAAAGATATGCCCATTGTTACACAGCATGGGATAAAAGACAAGTTGACTTGGAGTGCTGTCAATGTGCACTTAACTGCGTGTACAACACTGATGAAGATGTCGGTCACTGCCAAGGCACATATGTACACATTGGATGTTGTATGAAGTCTTCGACTTCTGATGATAGCGGCTAACACCAAGATGTTCCCAACCAGCGATAAAATAGAAATCATAAACACTACAACACAAAATATTGTTCTTATCGTCATTGTGTTTTGGTCGCCGGTAGAATCCATTTGGCACCGATGGTATTACTCGCAAGTGGGTGACCTCAAAGGTGTGTCCTGGATCAACTAAACGTTAACTGCAGTGGAAATTACATGCCGCTGTTATATAAGTTGTCTTCCTGATAGCCACATCATCAGGCAGGCGGGGCATTTTCCATATGACCCATTCACACCTACTCCCATGATGCAACATTCCAAGCCATCATCCCATCCAATCGGGGAGGCTGAAATTGATGACACTAACGAACATTAATTCCACACAATGACATGAATCAGCATCTAGCCTCTAAAGGTTTGATGGTCATTAACACCTTCATAACCACAGAATCTGGATTGTGATATCTGGAGGCGCATTCTTGAAACTCAGTCCAAATAGCATGACAGGAAAGGGAACTCCTTTGCCTTTCTTTGGCGGCTAATCCAGGCTATGAAGCTTAATTCACTGATACAGGTACAACGTGTCGCCACACCACCCGGTCTGAGAGCAAACACCGACTGCAGATCGATGCTGTCAACACTGTGAACAAACTCGAACATCCCACATGGACTGTTGCGTTAATGGTTGACAATAAACCATGTGATTGTGATTGCTTGTCGAGAGGATTGCTAAGTCAACACTGGCCGTGGATTCAATGCTGTTTCAGAGATTAGACTGTTAAATCATCAGTGTACTTCAACAAATGAGAAGCTGTTGTGGACGGTATGGTTTACAAATGTTATGGACACTGGTTGAGATAAAACATTCAGCTGACACCTCGGATGGAGAACAGACAGTCCTGAGATTGAAATGAATAAGGTTCCGAATTAGAACAAGTAATACCGCAAATACCCACTCACTCACTTTAACGGACTGTTATTCCCAGCAGGGTTCGGTTATGAAATAATTTCAATGTTTTTTGTTTTATTTTTAATATTTTTTTATTTATTTACCGTTTTTTTCTCACTTATTTGTTCATCTTTTTTGGAGGGGTGAGGATAGAGTTCAGTTCTGAATTTATTCAAATGGGGAGTGTTGCGTTTATAATATATAAATAATACATCGATCCTTAGATGCTTAGTTCAGCAGTAATAACTCACACATTATTTCCATCTTTAATATTAGGTTCACTTCAAGTTCACTTCGGGTGCAGGTGTGTTTTTTTCCTGAATGACATACAGACAATAACGGTTGTTGATCTCATCATTATGTTTTACGCCCTGTTTTTGTTTTGAAAAGCTTGATAGACAATATTTCCGTTAGAAAGATATTTGACACCAGTTGCATATTATGAAAGAGGAATTAGCCATGTGATATTTCTCCCTTGCAAACTGTAAAATCGTGTGTGCATGTTAAAAATTCCCTTTAAAAAATAATACTTTTTTTGATTGTTTAACTTAACGAGGTTTACCTACTTTACTGTCGATATGGGACAGACAATTAGTTAAACGCTTATTCGAGTTTCCTATTAACTCATTAAGCCCCAATTTTTAGAGTTATCTAAACAAAAATACTCACAACTCCTTTTGACATTTATTGCCGAGCTGACAGAGAGATAGTATATAGAGAATACTACACTCGGTCTCATTATATACGAATTATACGAAACGAGTGTCCTTCCTATGGTATCTGACCGAGCGAAAGCGAGGTCAGATAACATAGGACGTTCACGAGTTTCGTATAATTCGTATGTAATGAGACCGAGTGTGGTATTTTATTTATTACCCACGTCTTACATGCATTAAATTGACAAAATAGCGTATTTTTTTGTTATTTTTTGGTTTCAAACCGAAACCGGTTTCATAAAGAGGTTGCGGGAGAGTTTTGTACTGTAGTACAATATTTGCATGACGTCACACTGTAATGACGTCACTGCCTTGGTAACCGACGTCACGATGCATGTCAGTTGTCATCGCCTCGTACAGCCAGGACACTACTCCGTAGCACCCGTTTCTTGGTTTGCAGTTGCTTCATTCGGCTAACATCACTGGTGAAAACATTGCGTTTATGTTTTTCGACGGATATAATGTCTCAGTTCGACTCACAAATAAACAGCGACACAGCAACGTTCGCAATGTTTACATTCCCACAATGCATTTAAGTTGTACAATGAATGAATTCACGTGTTTGTTATGAATGGAAAAATAGTTACGTCAGAATGTGACCTAATTGAGAGGGCATCGGTTATCCAATCAAATCGTTAGAATCTCAGGTCAACGCGATACGACACTCGTGTGACGTACGAGATTAGTATGCAACTACCCATACGTTGACCACGTAGGTAATAAAATGCTGTTTTGGCTATGTGTGAAAAACCAAACTGGCGGCGGGTTTCAGACTTTCATCAATGTCTCTGTTAAATTTTAGGAAACTATCTATCTTAAATGTCAAAGTTTTGCATACCAATATCCTCTTTTGCACCCAAATAGGGTGCATAGCATTGAAGGTCCTCAGGGTTTTCATTTACAGATATTTACATTTTTTGGTGATTACAGGGCCTAAAATGCAAAAATGTTGTAATTTCGTCCTAAATGATTGTCAGAAAACAGAGCGGCACTGAAATTCGAAAATAAACAACATGAACTCAGCATTATTATGACACAAAATGATTAATGTGTAATCTTTGCAGAAATTATAGTGTACATGGTGTCAGCGCCATTGAGGAATAAGATTCTGCTGATGTTTCTATATTCATCAGTCCACTGAATAATTTATCAATCCACTGAATAGTCAGTATGACGAGAATAATGGGTGAACTATTGAACTTTTTACTGACACAGACAAAACATGAATGCATCCATCCAGGTGTCGGTTCGAAAGGCGAAATGTTCGTTATCATCGACAATTAGCGTGTGTAGCATGTATCACTGAAGCACCTGGTCCGTCAATGTATTTCCTGGTTTGGTAACAGACCGCCGTTGAATATTCAGAAACACAGCTGATGTTAATAACACTAAAATACTTATCAATGAAACTTGTGTGACTGGCTGGTGCTACCTGTGAGCCAGGACTTGCTTGCCCATTTTATGTCTTTTTACCCAGAATATCAAGTTAAGCGCCAGCCTGTTTCAAAACTAAGATGTGAAGCTGTGGAAATGTTAAGCTAAAAAAATTGGGACGGCCAATCCACATTTAGAGAATGTTCATCTGGTATCTCATTTAGAGATATCATAATCAGTTTGTATTTACAATTAAAGGAAATATTTTTAAAGATATTATGGCACTGATTTTTAAAGCAAAATAACTATACCTATTCTGCTTATACAACACTATTAAACTTACAATAGGTTTCACTTGTCAAAAATGACAATCATGTGACCTTATAACAGTCATTTCTGATTTTTACTTTTCAAAAGAAGGTAACCTTTTTGAGGAAAACAAAATGCATGTTTTTTCAAAAGCGCATATATCCTGTTTAAAGTAAAAGACAATTTCCATAATGGTTTTGTTTTTAAACTAAAAGAACTACACAACATTATGATTGTTGTTTTTTTTATATTTTCAATTCAGTTTATTTTATCTTTTCGGTAGGTGTATGTGTGGCCTTTTAAGTGCCTGTTACTTACAACACACAGATGTTGACCCTTGCAGACTGCACCACAATATACCTGTTCCATTTGCATAGATATTGATGTTTTAATCAAAACAGGAGGCATTCATAAGTGGCTTTGTTTTCACTGTATACATCAATATTATTTTCATAAAGAGCCCGACAGATTTCAGACAACACGGTGTATGGGGTGTCATTACTTGGTTTTTAATGGTTTGTTGTGTTGTTTTATTGGCAGATTGCGAGTGTGAAATTGTGTCAGAGGAAGTATCACATATTTAAGCTAGGCTTGTAGTTAATGCCTCACATGTGTCATATCGGATAATTAGGTGAACGCCATGCATTGTATATGCACAGGTACAATACAAACACTCACTTGGTACAATCTCTTAGCGCTAAGTGGATGTACTGATTTGCAGTAATAGAATTTGACAGCACGATTTCCTTTCATATGCGAGCTTGTATAACTGATAACGCTCTTCTGTACACACATCAAGCTCTTTCAACGATTTACGCGACCAAAGACCATTAATAAAACAATGCCCGCTTTCAAGCCGTATGGTAGAAAACATTAGTCACGTGACATCCGCCGGAAGTCAAACCGTGTTATACATGTTTGCCTGGTGAAACAGATGCCGATGTTACGTCAGTGATTAGAGATCCATTATGATACCAGCCGCCAGGTCAAAGTGTGGCTCTTGTTGGCTTGACATTATAATATTGAATACAATTAAGCAAGCGAGCCTGATCTTCCCATCCAGAAACAAGCATCGGTTGATAAAGATCAATTCTATCCCGATTCTTCACGCGTCTGGTTCTATGTTCCACTCCCACCAAGGATTAAGTGATCTGGACATGTCTGTGGACTGACATTTATAAAAATAACATTTTCCATTCAGAATGTGCACAAAGTATTCCATACACTAACATGTGTAATTTGTGCATGTAGCTGTATTAAGTAGATTTATTTCATAATTTGACGACTTCTCCAAAACCTACCCTCAATGGGGGTTGAAGTAGCGTAAAATTATTGTCCTCCTGAGAGGGTATATAAGTCCCGAAACATTCA